CCTACAGGTATTATTTTCTTCTTCTGTAACCCCACCTCCCGCACGCAGCTAAGATACAGATACAGATAACCATCTCACCTCAGTGAACCTCCGGTTGTGCTCTGAGAGCTGAGTGCACCTATGCACAGAGTGTTATTACATTATGTTATGTCTACTGCTGAGGGATTGGACTGAACTGGCAGAATGGGTTCAGACCTGTTCATGCAGATGTGATGGTTGTTGGTTCAGAGAGCTCCATTAAAACAAATTGAGCAGTTTCACCATTGGTGGTCTCTGATAAAGTACAGTTTGTTAATTATACCAATGTACTTTTACTTAAGTGATATTTTAAATGCAGGACTTTAAATTGAAATTGAGTATATTTAAAGTGTGGCATTACTACTTTAAAGAATCTTAGTACCGCTTCCACCACTAGTGGAGACACTGCTGCAACAACATTATTACACATTTATTTTAACCAATTTTAAGAATATTAAAGGGATTTTGAGTTATAAATAAAGCTTACCATTAAATGTTATACATAACAAAATTACTCAAGTGCTACACTGTGCTACACTCTCTAAAAGTTGCGTCCGCTTATACTAAATGTTAACTCAAAAATTAAAAACGAGGTAGCCTTAGAGTGGCCTACGTCCTTAACTTTACCTCTGCTCACATAAAACCAGACTTGCGCTTCTATTTATTATGTTCTAATTATAAGGTGTTCAATTTCTTTGAGATGTCTTCTGCCCTGAGCATGTTTGACAGTGGCTGCCACACCCATAGAAACCAAGTATGGCAGTATATACCAAACATTACCAAACATTCTGGCAAATCCAGCTGAAACCGAATTTGTGAATTGGGGTCAGTGTCAGGGCTCAACAATAAGGATTGCCCAATTGCTGGGGCTTGTGAATCTAGTAGCTCACTTGCCTTAAAAATAAAAAATAGCTGATGATTAGCTGAGCAATGAGCCGCCTCGCTTCCTTCTCATCCATGTTGAGAGTTTCACGTGCACAGTACCAATTAGGTGCTCGGGAGAAAATCTATAAGCTAAAGCGCAAGCTAGCATTTCAGTTACCCTGGAAACAGGAGTTTTGTCGGGTGGCGTCAGAGGATGTGGGTAAAACTCCAGCTTTGTATTGCTCAGTTTGCCACAAATTTGAAAGCAAGGTTGTTTTTCATAGGTACCTCGATTTGTTAGTTTTCTCCGGATACTCCAGCTTCCTCCCACAGTCCAAAGACATGCAGGTTAATTGGTGACTCTAAATTGTCTGTAGGTGTGAATGTGAGTGTGAATGGTTGTCTGTCTCTATCTACCTTTTTAAACAGGAATTGTGCAAATTTGTAGGGAAGCCCAATCAGTCTTTTTTCAGCATTGGCAGTATAAAAACAAATTTGGGGAGTGCAGCAAAATGCCGCCTGCCTACTTTTGTTTATACAGAATGTGCCTTTTTGTGCAAGTAACAAAACGTGTAGCTCAGAGTGTGACGTAAACAGTGACATACTCCGAGGGAAGCCGCGGCTGGTCAGTCCTTTCGGCGATTCTCTCGTCAGTAGGCCCGTTCTTCACTGTTCCCGTCATTTGACGGTTAATGGCCTCTTCGTTTGCGAGGGCAAGGAGGGCGCGCAATTCTTTGTCTCCGTAGTTGCTCATCTTTACAGTGTCTGTCAGGTTTGCGTTTCCCTCTTGCTACTAGCTGCTCATTCCTGGTATCAGCTGTTTCCTGTTTATCCACCGCCAGTGGCTCGCATGTGCGGCGTCATCAACAGCTCCTCCCACAAGTCACCTCGTTCTTTTTAAACCAAAAAGGTTACGCCAATATGACTACCCTATGAGGCAGAAAATTGGGCACCTCGGATCAACTCGCCAATCCGGCTCCGTGTGTCTAAACACTCACAACTTGCCTATAAAACGGCCCAACATTCGCGGAAAATCTGGCAGTGTAAAAGGGGCTCATGATTTAGCCCTGCGATAGTCTGGCGACCTGTCCAGGGTGTACCCTGCCTCTCACCCAATGTCAGCTGGGATAGGCTCCAGGCTCCTGCAATATGATTATCTTATATAATGTTATTACTATCCTAAAACATTCTCCAGGTCCTCTGAAACTCTGCAGGACTTAAGCCTCTTTCACACAGAGCTTTCGCGGCGCCCACCGCGGGGTAGGGCGCAGAGGACAGGATTTGGGGGAGTACAGGCTTATTCAGGAGCTACAGCTCCATGGTGACCGCTTTCGGGTCTACTTCAGGCTCTTCTCTGCTATTGGACGCGCGGCACCGAGGTGTCGTCACAGCGCGGGGAAATAAAAAAAAATTCGATTAGAGCGCAGGCTGGCGGCACGCAGACGCATGTATGCGCCCTCTTGCGCGCCGCTCAGCTCGGCGGCAGAGCAGTGCGCTCTTGCGCCACGGTAGCACATACACGATGAATGGGTTCGTTTGCGGAGGTCTGCGCTTTGTGCGCTCTGTGTGAAAAGGGCTTTATTTCCACCCTGCCCAGCAGCGGTACCGTGGCGAAAGGTCCCTAAAGGCCTCTACACATGATCAGCTGTAAAACCGCTTTGCACTGGCTGTCCCATTGTTTGTCTATGGAGAGGGCAGCAATGCCTGACAAAGCGGCACCGCTACCCGTGGCGTCGCGCACGATATTCATTGTGCCGACAGTGGCTTGGAAAACCACCCATAACCGTGCCACACGGGGAAGAGGGAAGAGGGAAGGCGGCAGGAGTTCCTCCAACATTTGTAGTTAGATTATCATATTTTTTTATTGACAAAAATATAGGCTGCTTCGGCTGATTTTTTTTATGCGCACATGTGCCCCTAAATATTTTTTACAGTTCGCACACACCTATTTTTAGTCACAAATGCGAGTGAAACGCTCGCACTGTCGAGCCCTGAGACCAAAGTACTATTAAAAGCACAGTCACACATGCTCACTGTAATTACCACTAAAAATATTAGTGGCAGAGCCAACAAGTGGACAAACAATATTTTGATATGAGTTGGCAGTTTGTCAGGTCAAAAGGTCATTGTCAAATGACAATGGTACCACACCCGCACCACACCCACAGATACCAGTGAGGTGATGTGGAAAAAGGTGGAGTTAGAAACCACCAAACATGGGAGGGGCAAAAAGACTAAGGAAATCACGGCCACAGGCATGTGCATGGCAGCTATGACACTGAATGAGGAAGCAGTGGTAAAAGCTGGACATGTTATTTATAACGACATTGACAGAAACCACAACAGATCAATTGATGGTTTTGATTTATTCATAATTCTCAAATTACCTGTCACCAAAGCTAGCAAAAAAAAAAAAAAGATCTTTCCTTTGCTTTCTTTCTTAACCTTCCTTTGTTATGTGCATTTGTTATGTAGTTGGTGAATGTGTAGTATTTTGTGCACGATTTTTATTATGTTGCCCACATTAATTTTATGTGATTATATAAAGGGTGCCCTTTAACATCTGGCCAGAGACAACACATTAGATAATGTGTCATGTAGACCAACGCAGGCTCATTTACAGGTCCATGAGTCAGAAGTTATTCAGTTCAGTCCCTCCCACTTGCAGCTGCTATTTGTTTTTGTGGATATCAGTGTTTGTTTTCATTGTTTTCATTCTTGTTAAATGCTGAAATGATTGTTGCTGATGGTCAGTGACATTTGCTGCTGCTCAAGTCTTTGCACCAGATCGTTCTTCTGATCCTCTTGAAGGACAAATCAGGGAGAAGATCTGCCAAACCTGCTGTAAACTGAGCCGGGCCTGCAATAGCTTATATTGACTGGATTTGAGGATGTCGCAGCCCGGTCTCCTGAGCACAGCAGCCAAATAAGTGTCTGTTTATAGTTACTGGATATATAGATTCAACAAAAGGTTATTTTATAAAGCGTTTACTTCAGGTGCTTAGCAACGTGATGATGTCACCTGCTGTTTTGTTTTGTGATCCGGTTTTATGGGTCAGCAAATGTGTCACTTAAAACTTGAGGACTATCCAGTTAGGGCACATTGTTCAGATGTTTTAGGTTTCTAAAAGGGCTCTTTTCTTCTGCAGCTGCAGGGGAGGCCTGGGCTAAACTGTCCACTTTAATTTAATGTTAAATTACCAGTTGCTCATACTGTATGGCTTTAGCTATCCAACCATCACATCATCGACCACAATTTCCCCTACAAAGGATATTGTTTGCTGCAGACCTTTATTTAAGTCCACTTTCCCAGTGTGTGTCTTGTCTTTTCTTCAGTGTTGTGTAAGAGTTTTATTTTATTAACCAGGCTTGCAGTGAATTTGTTGCAGGAAACATTTTCTTCTCTGGGGTCAACAGACTGTCAGCTGGGCTTTCACATTAAGAATTTGTTTGTTTGGCCTATTTTAGATTCACGCAGTATGGGAGTCCTGCTCATAAGCATGGGTCAAAAACATTTTCCTTCCATTGCTGTAAATAATCACATCAAAGCTTTAGTTGGCAACTTTTATAAAAAAAAAATAACTTGTGTAATATTTGCAGAAACTGTCACTATATACACACAGCACTGAATGTGACAGATAATCCTTAAAAAAAAAAAATTACATTGCTCTGCCTACTCTATTGCCTTGTAGCGCCTCTAATGGCCTCACCGTACCTGAATGAAAACAACCCATCAGAGTCGAGGAGACACTAACGCAGCTGTCAATCACTGCACGTAATCTGCATTCAAACTGTCAAACTAACTAGTGCTGATCAAATATAAATTAAAATTCTGTTACTGCATTGCCTATTTCTCACTTCAAATATTTTCAGAAACATATTTTAGTGTACTGTTTAGCTGTAAAATGAGAAGGTTGGTCCAGCTGATGGGCGGTGCTTGGCACTTTGGTCGACTATTTTGAACATGGCGGCCAGGTTACACACTTTCACATTTTACATAGAGGCAGTTTCAGCAAATATTACAAAGTTCTTTTCATAAAATTACCAACTGTAACTTCAACACACATTTGCAGACATAATTTATAATGCACATATTGATCCTGAATTTTGTTTTGCAGGAAAGTCAAATGTTGTCGCAAAAGAAGCTGTTTCCAGGTGGACAGGTGAGTCCAGTTTTCTTTTTTAATACATGCATATTTAATAAGTCTGGAATCGAGCTGCAACAGTTAGTTGATTAATCAATTAGTTGATCAACAGAAAAAGAATCGGCAACTGTATTTGTAATTGTTAATGTCAGATGAGAGAATTTGCGAGTTTACTTGAATTACATCATTGGAAATTGTACCTTTTTTTTTTTTTTTTTTTTACTGTTGTACAGACAAAAGACAACATTAATAATATCACCTAGGGCTTTCAGAAATTGTCATAGACATTTTTCATTTACTGTTTTCTAATTTTTTTATAGACCAAACAGTTGCTAATCAACAAAATAATGATTAGTAACACTGCAGCTAACAGTTATTCATTTATAAATGAATAATAGATGCTTTGTTCAGTGAAGCGACTAATCATTTGGTCAATAAAATGTCAGTTAATAATGAAAAAAGATCATTACAATGTCAAACAGCCCAATGTGACATATTCAGATTGCTTGTTTTATTCAGCCAACAGTTCCAAACCCAAAGATATTGAGTCTAATATTATATATGACAAAGAAAACCATAAAATCCTCACATCTGAGAAGTTGGAACCAGTGAGCATTTAACATTTTTGCTCAGGACACATCTACAACAATTTTCTGTTGATTTGCTAATGATAATAATGATCCTTGCAGCTCTAATTATTAGCTGCTTACTTGTTACCTCTAAATATTCAGTACAGAAGTTACTGGAGAATCCCTGTGGCAGGTTTTATTCCATTGATTACTCTTTAAAACCCTCAAGCTGTAAAAGGCACTTGGTGTTCAGCTTGTCACCTCCCAGCCGTCAGCACTTTAGGCCCTCTGTGTGCATTCATTGACCCAAGTGGTAACCTTGGAGACCTTTTGGGGATCATGGTAACCAGCCTGGCCTGTGGTTTTCGACTCACTAGGGCCAACGCTGCCTGTAACCGGTCAACAAAGTCACGCTGTCAGTTTTCATTGGCACGTTTTTGCTTTACTTCCATTAGAATTATACTCGTTTTAAGAAACTGTGAGTCATATCTGCCTCTTCCATGAGTCGTACTTCCCTTGTCTGAGGTGGACGCTGCGAAATGAGTACATAGGGGTTTCCTCAGAGTACTGTGTGCAGCAGCTGCCTTAGTACAAGTGCAATGTTTTTTTTTTACTACAAGCTGCAGAGTTCTCAGCTGTCATGTTACAACTAACGACACTATTTTGTCAGTTCTGTCAACATCCCAGTCCCCAAAATAAAATGTTGCCATTATACGTTTTTGCAAACCACTTACCACTTGCAAACCATTTGTTTCATATGATTATATGTGCATTTCTAAAGTGACATAGTTCTTATTACATTTAAATGAGCTGACTTTGTCATTAGGAGGAGAAGACGATGTTGGATGGTGTGGGACCTAGGCGTGACGGCTGCCAAGCAGCAGACCACTGTTTGAGACCAGTAACATTTCCAGCCTTGTTTTTGGCGATATAACTGGGTATTTTTAGCCAAAACATGTTTTCCTAACTGTGCCCAAGTGTTTTTTTATGCCGAAACCTAACCACGGTAGCCACAGCGTTGTCGCAACATAAAATTTAAAATTGAAATGCTAGGAAATGTTAGTGTCAACATATCCGCTACATGTGAAATGTACAAATTTAACATTTGTGGTTTTGCAGAAAAGCACAACACCAACATTTATCCTGGCGATTGAGTTTCTGTCAATCAGCTGCCTTTTTAACAAGTTTGTTACTCTGTTGAATTTTCACCAGAATCAACCCAGCAAAGCCAAATCTTCTGGGCCTGGTTAAAGTGGATTTTAAACAAAACATTGAACTTGCACTACTGTTGCTGTTGTGTAGCTGGTGTTGTTTCAGCTTCTCTCATCAGACCCCTGCAGGCTTAAGTAACAAGTATTGAATTGCCTGTGGCTACAACTTGTTCTGTGACAGCTGACTTTTCAAAGTTAATGTTGCGTGGCTTTAACCTGTAGCCTTGTTGCACTGAGACACACCCATGCATACAGACTCACATGCAAGCACTGACACAGCTAATCACTTACACTTTAACTGCATATTGTTGTATCAGAACAGGAGTCCAGTGATCTCACAAGCTCACGTTAAAGGCATTACTAACACAATGATTCAGAGTTTATTGACTTAAGCTCCTGATAAGACTTATGTTAATCTGCAGGAAGGTATTTGATTTAATCTTTGAATGGGTGACACATCCACAGTTATTTAGCCTGTCTCATGAATCACATCTAAAAGGCAGTCACCTTCAATTCATGGAAACTCATGTTAGATGTGAAATAAACTGCAAGAGGAAGTAAAGTGCATTTCTGATTACAGCTATGTTGAAGGTTATCTCGGCTACTTGTAGACTTTTAAGCTGAAGTACAGTCAGATTGGTTATGTACTTAATGTACTGATGTGTGTGTATTCTCACATTAGACTATGAAGTTAAATTTACCATCATAAATAAATAAAGTCAAGAAAGATATTATTGCGATATGAAGTTCCGCTTATTCCGCTTATATACTTTATATATATATATATATACTCAGACCAAATTGAAAGCAGACACTTGGTCTCGTCTTGACTCCATCCATAAGTGTCTTACATATGTATACGTTTCCTTGCTAGCAGCTTAGCTTGCTAACTGGCTAACAGCCAGACATTTTAAAGGAACTCGTGAGCTCCTGTTTATGACATGGGATTTCGTGTAGACAAAGTCATGAACTCTGGGCTCTCAGATAATTTCCAGTTACGAGGTGGTGAATACCACAACAGGGGGGAGTTAATATGGACACCTCTTGTGAACACGGTAACCACCCCACACTCCTGTCTGAGTTTCATGCAGCACATTTGCACGAGATAAGTGAAATCTAGCCTTGTACTCGAAATTACTGACATCATCCCCCAGATGATGAAAGGCATAGGTGTAGTGCTGCTGGAGCGCACAGGGAATTATGCTTTACCACTTCTTCACATCTCTGAGTGAGGAAAAAGAATATTAACTGTTCACATACTGGTTATGTAGTTGAAATTCATATACATTTTTAAGCACTTCATAGATCCAATCATTACCAAAACGTATGTTATGTGCGAAAGTCAGTACAGTCCAGTGTGATAATCAAAGTTGTCATATTGACATTTAAAGAGGCAACAGATAGCATCTTTTCCTAAGTATATCATTATGAAAATAATGTGGGTTGCACAGGGTAGTGTCCACAGTAACATCAGACTATCAGCGTTTACATAGGTTACTTAGTGGCTTTGCAATCTTTGCAATAAGCTTCTGCCACCGGGGGCGAAATTTCTTCTTTACGGCAGGAAACGCGTCATGTATTGCGAAACTGGTCGGCCAGCCAATCAGGGACTGGAGCTGGTCCTTATGAGGAGTTGGGCATGAGATAGTTGAGTCACGAGCACAATGGCAGATGGACAAAGTTTGGAAACAAGTGAAAAATGGCCTAGCAAAAGAAAACGAGCTCCTCTGTCTGAGGAGGCAAAGAAGAGCAAAAAGGAGAGTGATAAAAGAAGAGGAAAAACAAGAGTAAACCTCAGTCAGGCATTCAAGAGATGGAGGGAGCTCCGTGACCAAAGAGGCTTCAGCACCGGTGCCCAGCTAGCTTTCTTTCTAATGGATCAGTAAGTAACACGGCTAAATGTTAGCTAGACGAGAGAGGACTGTACTGTACTGGCTGCTAGTTAACTCCTAGCTGGCCAGCATCGCAAATCGCTGCAACCAGGGACCAGGTAGCGAGTGTTGGTCGGCTGACGTCCTTGTTGCCATTCTACGGCAGCCCTCGGCCATAAATGTGAGGACAGCCTTGGCAGTTACTGGGCACCCAGCATCTCCAACCGGGAGAAGTGGAGTAAAATTCTCTCCTCCGCTCCCATTTGTCTGGTGAACGCCTCTCCTCTGTCAATACACTCTGCCAGCAATTTAATAACATTTGAATATTTTAGTAGTAAGCCATGTACTAAGCGGGATAATGTATAGTGACCCGGTGACAGTTGAAAAATAACTCCGCTGCGCGTCGGGGTTCCATTCCCCTGTTGGGAGTTATTTTTCAACAGTCACCGGCTCACTATACATTATCCCTTACGTGTCTACTGTTGTTTGCACTGATACTGTACATATTGGTATCATTTACTGTGAGTTGTTTGTACTGGTACTGTGCATTCTGGTATAATTATTTACATTACTATTTGTTTTTTCTTCAGAAAAATCTGATAATTGTTGCTCGGTCTCTTTACTCATTTATTTAGTAGAGTGTCCACACACCTTCTCATTCTACATATACATAGAGGTATACTGGTGGCTTTTCAGCCTACATTTTATTGATTATCTCTGATCCCCATGGTCAATTTGGTTGTTGCGACAGTGCGAGCAACATCGCTGACGCTAGGTGGCGCCAAGCTTTAAAAAAAAAAACAAAAAAAAACGAATCCTATCTGTTGCCTCTTTACGGTGTGTGAGTGAATCGTGGCGTCAACTCATAGTAATATCCAAGAAAACGTTCCTTCTTAAAAGTTGCTGGCAGCTGCCGATGGTAGCCTTTGAGCAGCACAGTGAGTCTATAGGTAGCTAACCGTATATGAAATATGCTTCTGCCTGTGTAACAATAACGGTACAGCCCCAAAGCACATGGATGAACGAAAACAACTTATCAGAGTCAAGGAGCCTCTAATGCAGCTGTCAATCATGTTAGTCATTGCTCTTAAACTGCAGTCAAACTGTCCAACAAGGCAGCACTGATCAAATATAAATCAAGATTCTGTTACTGCATTGCCTATTTCTTACCTCAGATGTTTTCAGAAACATATTTTAGTGTACTGTTTAGCTGTAAACCCCAAATCACATGGATGTTAAATAGCACAGATCCAGTGTTATTACAAATTACAGTAGGTAATGTGCATAGGAATTTTTACTTGACAAATTACAGGCATTGCAAAGCCGCACGGGATTAAGATTGCAGATGACCTCCGCAAATATTGCAAGTTATGAGAGGTCCGAAGGTAGTACTTGTCCCTTGTGAATGGGGCTTACGAGTCCAATTTAAATAGATTGGGGTGCTTTTATGCATTCATCTACAAGGACATAAATTGAATCAAAGAATTTGCATTGAGTAAGGCTAATTAATTGACCAGGTCATAGTTGAAAATGTTAGACTGAAGGCTTGTAATTGTAAGGTTTTGCAAATATTCTACCTCCTCTTGATGGTTGAGGAAATGTGCAAAAATTCATTTTAAGTCTCAATCAGGAGCATTTCTTGAAACTTGCTACAGTCTCACACACAGCTGTACCTGACTGATGTAGAATACTGATGAACCTATACAGTCTGCATTACAAATTGGAGCATTGTCATGGTGTTCCCCACCCTCATGAAGACCCACCAGATTCACCCCAGCTGCCCAGTAACCTTCAGGTGTGGCAGATGCTCACTGGCAGAGTTGTGTTCAGGAGGCAGCAATCAAATCATAAGCCAAGATAACTCTTACCAAAACAAAAATGATCAAGTGCTTGAGAGCAGCGAGACAGATGGTTTGTTCTTGGACTCGACCATCATTCTCAAGTCCAGGAATATTCTCATCATCCCACTATAATTGTGCTATCTGTGATACTATATATAACTCCGGTGGGGCAAGTGTAGTGGTGTATATTGGCTTGTTAACGATTTTGGTTTCTGTTTTCAGATAATGTTTTCGCCATCAAGTCGTGGACGAAGAAGAAGTTTGCCTTTGATGACAGCCGCATTAATAAAGCCTTTGGGATCCCGGAGGACTTTGACTATTTGGACTGACTGCCAGCTTTTCTGCCAGAGTTCATGGTCACAATAAGTGAAAAATAAGTGTTTGAGCTTCAGTTTGAAGCCAGTGTACCTGGTCTCAGCAGTTCTAATTCATGGTCTGTGTATTACAGTGACAATAAATGCACCAGTGTTCATATTTATGGCCTGGGTTGGGCTCTGAATAAGCACTGATATCAGTAATTTCGCCGTAGCAGAGGGACTTTATCAGCGGCTATGTTGCTTTGGTGCAACCAGAGAAGAGAAGCACAAATTGTTAGTGGCTGTGAGGGGTGACAGAGTTCTGTGATGAACACAACCTAGCAGCTTGACTTTTGGGACACCTGTTTGCATGAAAATTGAGAACCCCAAGTTGATGATGGAAGGGAATTAACACTTGACACATCTGTGTAGTGAATGATCTAATTTATATGGTTTAAACAGATGGTTTGGAATCAAATGCTTGGGCTCTTTTTTCCTACATTATTTTTAGTAGGAGGGAAAAAGAAAAAGTGCTTTTGGGAAACATCCAGTCCTCCTCGTTGTTCATAAAAAGTGCACTGACTGACGGGACAGTTAAATAACAAAGGATATGTTTAGGATATGTCTACAGTTGTAAATATTTGAAGTACATTTACTTTTTGCAAAACCTCTTTTCTAGTGCTGCAAATAAAATGTCCCTCTGAGTTTTACAAGTCATTTTCTGTGGTTGTATTCATTCTAAAACTTAATGTGCAGTATACAAATGTATGTACACCAGGCCTCCTGTCTTTTGTGATTTCATTTCTTACGAAATTGCCACTAAAACATTGCAAAATCTGTCACAGAAGCACATTTTTTTCCAGAGCTGCACGCTCACTTTCTGTATGAACAAAAAAGGAACACTGCTGTCATGACATGTCCAGAATGACTCGTGCCCTGCTTATTTTCCTGTCTTTTTCCTCTGTCAAACCAGATGCAAAACAGGTAGTTGTGTGTTGTGTGTTCTGTGTTTACTCAGTGACCTAGTTGACAAGGCCAGTGTGTCTTTGGGTTTGTTGATTTACATTTCAAATTTGCTCCATGCTCATCTTGTCTTTCTCATCAGTTGATTTTTCTTTCCAGCAGATGAATGATATACAAACACTGTTTGTTCTCTGTTACATCCTTTTTATTTATGACGTTGCTTAATGCAAGTTCTTTTTATATGTAACTTAAAGAAGATGTTGGTCTTAAGAGACAAATGTCATGTGAAAGATTCACGTATCCTTGCAAACATGCTGTAGATGAGTGATTAAACGTGGGCAGCTTCCTGTTTATAATGCTTCCTCATGCACAAGTTCAGTTATTTATGCTGGTAAGGATAATCTGCCACTAAACAATGTGCAGATGTCTGTTCTTACATGTTGTTTATTATGGCAACTACAAGCTCCTTATTAGAAGTGTGCTGTTGGCTGTAGCAACAATAATCCAGGAAAAATCTAAATGCCTAGCTGCAGTTTTGTTAGATGGAGCTGACACACCCACAGAAGAGTAACCTGAGTGTATGTGCATGTGCGTACCTGCCCAACCTGTCCTAACTGATTTATGAGTCTGACATGCTGAACGTCAGAGAGGCCTGTGCATAGTTTTACCTCACTGTCACTCACATAAAGACTGCTGTCAATTGCAGCTTCATTGGCTGAACATTTCTTGCCCTCACTAAAGGTTATTATTGCACTAATTAGGCCACTTTCAATTAACCTAATGTACAGGACAACAGATGGACAGAAGATTATATATCATTAAAGTGATACTTAAATAGTTTTAATTATATATATGTTTTGCTCAAAGTTAATATCAAGTAGGGTAAAAATAGATTTGTATTTATTTAATAGTAAAAAGTAAAATTATCATTACAACAATTTAAACACATTGCAAGTAAAAGTCCTGAATCCAGAATGTTACTTAAGTTAAAGTACATAGGTATGTTCAATAACATGTACTTAAAGTATCAAAAGTAAAAATACTCACTTAATACTAAGCATATCTAAAAAAAAAACTAGTAACTGCAGTGAAAAAATGAAATATTTCCCTCTGAGATGTAGTGGAGTAGAAGTTAAGAGTAGCATACAATTGAAAAGTTCATATAATGTACAAGTGTGTCAAAACTTTACTTAAATACAGTACTAGAGTATATTTATTTAGTTAAATTCCATCACTCAGTAAGTAGAAGGAGCAAAACCATAGTGTGTTTAAGTGTTGTTAAGCAGTGCAGGTTTTTCCATGTACTAGTACATAAGTGTTAACATCAAAATATACTTAAAGCACGTAAAGTAAAAGATACACTGCACAGAATAAAATATATATCATACCTAATATTTATGATGATTTTTGTCCATTTTATGAACTTTCACTGTATATTACAGAGTTGTTTTATTTTATGATATATGGATACATTGCCGCTTGTATTTTTTTTGTAACTGTCTTGTAAGGTGTCCTTGAGTGCTTTGAAAGGCACCTATAAAGGCATTATTATTATTACTATTATCATTTTATATAATATCACAATTGTTGAAGCATTAATGTGTACATCACTTTAATGTTGCAGCTGGTAAATTTGAAGCTAATTTAATATACTTTATATGCAGCTGGGTAGCTTAATCTATAATAATACATCATGATTTATTATTTATATTTTGCATTAATAATCTGAACCTACAAAGTAACTAGTAACTGATGTTGACTAATAAGTGTAGTGGAGTAAAAACTGCAATATATTTCCCTCTGAAATGTAGTGGCGTAGAGGTATAAATAGAAATATAAATAAAAATGCTTAAGTATAGTACAAGAGTATGTGTACTTGGATAAATTAAAGTACTGTAAGTAAAAGTTACATTGTGCAGAATAATATGTATAATATCACGTTATTACAGTTACTGGTGCATTCATGTGCACATCACTTTAATGTTGCAGCTGGTAAATTTGAAACTAATCTACTTTATATACAGATGGATAACTTAATCTATAACAACACCATGATTTTTTATTTATATTTTGAATCAATCTGAACCTACAATTTAACTAGTAACTGATGTTGTCAGTTGTAGTGGAGTACAAAGTACACTACATTTCCTTCTGAAATGTGGTGGAGCAGAAATATAAAACAGCAGAAAATAAAAATACTTATGCACAAGTACCTAAATTTGTACTTGAGTGCAGAACGTGAGCATGAAATGGAAATACTGAAGTAAAAGAACCTCAAATGTGTGCTTAATTGCAGCACTTGAGTGCATGTTTAGCAACTTCCCACCACTGTGGTTCTATATTATACATATTGCACGATGGCCTTTTTTTAGTCAACTTGGTCATATTTTACCTTCTGCAGCAGACACGTAAACAGGCTTGTTGCAAAGTGTCAGTGGTGTGTGCCCTCAGTGTGCAGTGTGTGTGTGTGTGTGTGTGTGTGTGTGCGCGCAGGCGGGGAGGGACAGAGGGAGGGAGCTGCTGCTGCTGCTGCTGCTGCTGCTGGCTGAGTGAAAGAAAGACCAACGCAGCGAAACACAAGGTAGGCTGCTAGCTGAGAGGGCAGCATGGCGGGGCTTCAGGACTTCCAACAAGGCAGCCACTGTCACAGGAAAACGTGGATCAATATACTACTAGGAATACTACAATTACTTTTACCCTGCGTACAGCACGGAGGGGCTCAGCTGCAAGGTTTGTGCTCACCTTTATATTCCGCTCCGGGGGTGTAACGACCGTTAACGCGACCGTTGCGAAAAAAAATGTAAAAACGTTAATTTAGCTGGGCTGACTTGACAGCAGCATTTATGCTAGAAAATAGCTGTCAAGCTTAATTACTCAAACAGCTTGTAAAATTAAAAATGTTGACTTCATTTTTAAGTAGCGACTTGAGCATATTTTGATTTTCACCAACATGGAAGAGCTAACGTTTATGTTTTGTCAGCCTGCTAGTTCATGCTAGCTCCCAGTTCCCTTTACTGTTTGCCTAAACGAAATGATAACTTGTCCAGACATGGAAGTAACGTATTACCGGGGCTTTACCGGGGCATTTAACTGTCACTGTTGTCCCTGTGTTGAAGCTACATATCGCTGTAAGCTAACTCTACACGGCTAAACAAGCCGTGTGTACCGCAGTAGCAGCAGAGATGTTTTCCAAGTTCGTTAGCCACCGAGCTAACCTTCCTGCTAATGAAGTAGCTAGCAAACAGCCTTTGTCAGCCTGTCGAGGCGAAGTCATTTCCTCACTTGTCTGTGTGATCACAATCCGCGCTGTTTCACTTAATTCATTTATCACAACCTGTAATAATAACCGAGACGTGCAGTATGCAGTTAAATTAGCCAGTCTGTTGAAATATAATGCATTTCACCATGCTGCCCATTTTCCAACCATCACTGATAATTTTATTTTCTTGCTCCTACAAAGCTCTGAGTCAGATGTCCACCAGCGTGGTCGAGGTCTGGCAACCAGAGGATGCAGACCCATTAATCCAACTTCAGGTAATCATAGTTTCTTTCTTTGGGCGTATTTGTATAGAGGAGAAATTGAGAGTGTATATGCAAAACTCACATCATCCCCAAGAAATGCAGACAGATGCATGAGCACGTGTGTGGGTAGTGCATCCCCATTGTGTTTGACTCCACTGTGCGGCTGGTTGACTTGTGCATATTTATGTGAGGAAATATCAGTGACCACACACGATTATGTGGTTATATTATTGTGTGAATTTTGTAGTCATCGAGCTGGTATCCACAGTAATACTGTGGAGTAAAACCAGAGCGGGAGGCCACCTGCCATGTGGCTCCTCCTTATTTTCTTTTGTACATAGTGTCCATTGTGGAGTTCAGTCTGTAGTACACACTGAGAGCATGTTAGCAATGAGACAGTCTGCACACTACTTTGCAGCTCTTTCCTGCACAATATATTAAGATTATTTCCTCATTTTGTAGTCTGCATGATATGCTTTTTATTGTGCAGGATATTTTTTAAAGATCTGAGCTGCAGTTTCCTAAACAATCTTCAAGTAGGCGGGTGTAATGATTATGTAATCATGGAGCAAGGCAAGCACAAACATCAGGAGTTCTGTGCTTACTGATAACCTGTCATGAGGTCACCAGCTGACTGTCATGTTACCTGAGGGGGGTGTGTCGTTTTTGTTGCCTTCCTGTGTAAACAGATGTGAATGGTGTTGATAATTCAGTTGCTTTGAAAATGAGTAAAAGGCACATTACATCAAACTCATTCGGATCATTTTGTTTAGTCTGGTTTTCAAAGATGAATGGCAAGCTTTTGTGAAATTTAATAAATATAGAATAAAAAGCAGATATGCCTCCTACAAAATACATTTTAGATTTTGTTGCTATGTTTTGCGAAGATTTTGAAATACTTATTTATACTCTAGACATGCCCAGACCAGAGATAACACAAGAGGAGTTGATTAAGCATTGAAAATAATTTTTAGGTTAGTTGTTTAATTTTTAAAAATAAGATGGTTTACATAAAGGGGAAAGGGGGAGCATGTCAGTGTTTGGGCATGTTTCTTTCCACTCACGTCTACCTTGCACACCAATTGGGCAGATGGCAGAATTGTTGACATTGTTAGGTGTCATGTTTAGATAGGCAGCAGTGAATGGAGTGGCTGTCTCAGTTACATGGGTTCTGTGAAACAGAGCATGACATGGATGTCTTTCATCTATACTCCAGTGCTGCTGCTGGTCAACTGGTTAAGTAGCGTACTGTATGTTGCTGCAGGCACACTGGAGTGGTGATGCAGAAGGAAATGGCATCATGTGCCATGATATATATAGTAGATATTAAACCAGATATCAAATTTGGGCAGCAGAGACCATGACTGAGCAGATGTCCTGTGCATAACTAGAGCTTGTAATTGTTGCCATCTTCGTCTCATCCTGCTTACT